GTTTGGCTGAGATTAAAGTTACAGTTTTTACACAGCTGAATAAACGTCAAGCAGACAGCTGATTATCAGAAGTGTGAGATGCTGGAGAATTTACTCCGGTGTCCTGTTATATTTTAGAAAGCAAGGAGTTTATTAAACTTCACCGAAACAATCTGCAAATTTCATTAAAATTTAATAAACTATCTTTTTGTCTTTATTTTTAGTTAGCACAGACCTTACACACTTAACCATCTTCTTCATTTAAACCTGCATTTATTTATTTATTTAAAAAAGTGACAGAAACTAAAACTGATGCATTCACTGATCCATGTATAAACTGTAAGTCAGGTTTGTATTCACTGCCATCCCGACTGCCAAAAACCTGCAAATAGTATTTATTGAATACACACACGCACAAAAAAAAAATCTCAGTGGCTTTATGAAGAGAAACGTGATCAATTTCAGTAAACGCACATTTGTGGGAAAACAAAATTAAAGGGGAAGTCCGCCGATCTACATGCAAAAGGTCAACCGTCACAGAAAGCACATTTCACCTGTGAGAGACAGCGTGTCTTTAGTGTTTCTCAGGAACATTGGTCAAGTCATAATTCTGACGATGTGACGAGTCCACGAACAACGACAAACTGGACAAAATGTGTTTAAGTTGGACAAAGAGTAGAGCTGATGAAGACACACAGGTCGGAGTGTTTTTGGAGCTTAACTCAAACTATGAAACGGAGAATTCGTGTCCACGAAGCTCAGAGCCAAGTTGAGTCGTCAGGTTGCAGAGGAAACCTCTACAAGAGCAGATTAGTTCTTTATTCTTTTTAAAGCTGTAAATATTTTGTTACTGTTACTCTTTAAATATCACTACACGCATATAGTTTCATACATGAAACTGACTGTGGAGTCCCCAGAGACTGTGGGGAAGTCCTCGACGCAGCCAACTAAAGCACGCTTCTTAACTCGTCTGTCTCTCCTCCTACTCCCACTCCCCAAACAGTGATCGGCTCAAACCTTCTTGTTATATTACATGTGGAAGGTGTAATGGTATTTGTGTTCATCCTGAAGCATTTGGTAGTTCACCATGAGACCTTCTTGCTACAGCACACTGTGAGCAACAATAACTGCTTGTACTTATACATTAACTATCAGGATTTATCAGCATATGTGTGCCTGAGGAACAAAATACCAGTTAATAACTGTTCATCCTACTGAGATAACACTGAGTGAAAACAAACAAAAAACAAAACATCAAGCCAACATGCAATTTATCCAGTACATAAAATCTCTGGATACTTGGCCACGAATGATCGTCAGCACCGTCATTATTAGGGCTGGGTTTTGATTATCGATTTATCGATTAAAATCGTGATATCGATTAATTAAATCCTGAATTGATTTTTTAATATAAATTTATTTTGCCCGAAACGCCACAATCTCAGGTGAAACCTCACAAAATTTCAACAACCGCCAAACAGCTAAATAGTAAATGAGAGCAGGAACACGGATTCTGCACAGAGACGTAAACACACAGCGCCGACGGATCAGAATCAGTGAGATGTGACTTTCTCACCGACAGCACGGACACGATCAGGGCTGAAAGCCGACAGCTCGCTGACTCTGATCTGTCGGCGGGTCCGCGCTTTGTGTTTACGGCGTTTTTTCACTGACTCTAAAGCTGTTAGTTTGATGTCTCTCCAAACAATATTGACTGAACCAGCAGCCAAAGAAGACCCAAACTACGCTTCACATAAACATCGTCATGGATTCTCTGACTTTTACTGTTTTGCTTCCACCAGGATGCACAGCTCTCTCTCTCTCTCTCTGTACTTCAACAACAGTTTCCCGTCTAAAAATCTGTTTTCTGCATTATTCACTTGCTTGTTACGCACAAGTCTACCGTTGTTTACAGCGCTGTCGGCCGATGGTTTTTTTTTTTTTCTTTTACTTACTTCCGATTTCTGCTGTTCAACAGGCTTCTGAACAAATGTAAACTTTTTAAAAGTATACAAAATGCAAAACGCCGTGTCTCTAATAAAACTGCTGTAACGTCAGAGGTGATGTTCATATGCTGGTTAATGATTTTCGTTCATTTTTGATCTACTGCAGAATATTTTTATAAAATCCCAGAACAGGAAAATCACCTTCATGTGTTTCTGTTTTATCTTCAGCTACTTTGACACAAAGGCCTCGCTGTGATGCTCACACCTGTGATAAAGTCTGGAAAGTGTCAGCTTCCTTTTTAAATATGTAAATGTACTGATCTGAATTATAATATTTCTGACTGTCTGAGGCAAAATTTCCCAGATTTAAATCGAATTGAATCGAATAGAATCGGGATCTTGTGAATCGGAATCGGATCGATTCTAGAAATCAGTGACGATACTCAGCTCTAGTCATTATACACTTATGATAAAACACCAGATAAACCTCTGAGCACTGAACAGTGCGTGTTCCTTGACTGACTGATTGGGTCGGGCTTTCTTTGAACTACCAGACTGTGCAGTAGCCACGGCTATATTTGAAGACACCAGCAGCAACCTTACATCTGGACTGCTGTCACCGCAGTAACTGCTGCCATGGTGACAAAGGAGAAGAAGGAGGGAGATGACACGTGCTGTAGTGAAGACATGCAAGCCGTGTGTTTAATAAGCAGCAGATGGAGTGGGGGGTGCGCGATGACTAACACTGGCCTTACTAATGCACTGTGGAGACAAGGTAGGTGTTGTTATTGTATGCTCAAGAAACTGGCAGAGCAGCGAGCCTTAACTGAATCACGCACGTTTTTGTTTGCCATTGTAGTGTTTTCCACAATGTAAAATACAAATGTACAGCGTATGCATAGCAGATATGCACAATCCAGCCACAACACGTGGTTACATTTTTATGAAGCAACTGAAGCTACAGAAGAAAGCAGTGGGACACGACAGAGGAAAGCCCACGTTTGGATAACCATTTGCTGTCACCTCGCAACTAAGACTGCAGAGGACAGCAGGGGACATGTGCTCTGGAACAGTTAGAGCAGCATGATTTATGATATAATGTGAGGAAAATGCATTCCTATTACACAAGCAAACTGATTTTAAATGATTGTGAACTTTAAATGGTTGTGCCCACACAACGTGCATGACACGGCACAAAAAACACAGGAGAAGAAAAAGTGACAGGCAGGTGTGAATTATGTCAGAGCACCTTTATCAGTAGTTCATGTTAGGATCGTCACTCCATCGTAAAGTTGAAATGCATACAGAGCAAGGACAACAAACTTCAATCAAAACCTCGTTTTTCTTTTTTTCTTCATTACATAAACAATCATGTGCAGAGCGGTGAGGGTAGGTGTGTTTGAGCAAGACAAGACTAAAGAAACCCTGCTGTCAGAACATTAGGATGCTCCCATGTGTCTGACTGGACTAACTCCCTTAAATGCCCCAAACAATGAAGCAGGATCTGTAATTTGGGCCATATTTGCACACACGCTATTCAAAACCTAACATTGGTAAAAGAAAGAAATACAAAAAAGAAATCTTCATTCAACTTTCAAGTAATCCAAATAAAACTAAACTCTGGAAATCCTATTATTTCTGTTTAATACAGACACATTTAAAATGATTCAGGCCGCCCTCTACCTGTCATTTCCCTGGAGCAGTTTTATAATTCAGGTTATTCTGAATGAACAGCCTGACATCTACCAATTTAAACTTTGTCATACAAAAAGCCCATAAACCAAAATAATTAAAAGGAATGAACAAAGGAATTAGTAGCTCATTTCAAGAGCAAGACCAGGTTGCTGTCAACAAAGCGATCAGTAGCCCAATAAAAACCAAACCAAACCCGAATTAAATAATTAAATATCCATCCATCTGTATAATTGAGCCGTTTGTACATATTAGCGCTATTTCTTACATTTGTAAACTCTCTGACATGTTGCATTATTTAAACAGTTTAGTCTGTTACTGTCTTGTTGGTTACTGTCAACTGTAACCCACAGAATTTAGTCAGGGATTAATAAAGCATTCTGATTCTGTCCTCTCTATATCTATATGTATAGAGAGAAAGACAAACTGCCCATTCTTCGATGACTATTACACTTTGAGTCTTTACATTTCATTTCAGTCTATATTCCTCCAGAGTATTTTTAAATCTGTCAACCTCACCAGAAGAAGAAGAAGAAGAGCAGGTTTCAAATGTGTAACATGAGAATGACAAGTCGTAAAAAGTGACAGGAGGAAGCTCTGTCAGATGGGGATGTGTGAGGGAAACTGTAGTCAGACTATATTATACGTATATCGTCATACTGTTGCATATACACCAGCTGTATATATCAAGTCTAGGTCTGTGTTGATTACTTTAATGATTCAGTTACTTCAAGGAAAAACAGACTCTCCTCTGTATCTGCACGAAGAGTCTCTAAGCAGCTATAAATAAACTGGAACCAACGTTGCTATTCTATATTTATTCCCCTGCAGAACTTTGGCTGTTCTTTAGCCTCGAACATCAGACTGATGCTTTTCAACAGGAAACACAGAGCTATAAAATGGTAATGATACCTTTTTATTGGATCAATAAGTCTTTCAGTGGAATGCGAGGCTGAGCCTAATGTGAGGTGAAATGGCCCCTCACTACAACTAAAATCTCTAGCTTGTACTTACAATAAAATCCTTCATACAAAGCTCGTTGGTCACACTGCTAAGGCATAACCGAACTGATTTTGTTGGCTTCCTGGAAACTGCCGCCACCGTTACCCACTCAGAATACGTGGTGTGACATCATTGTGGCTTACCTCTGCGACTTTAGGGGGAACTCCATCTCCCAGCACTTCCCTGTAGAAACACTGCTGGGTCATGTAATAGGAGAGGCCACTGGTTCTTTTGAAGGCATCTTTCAGCCGCTTCAGTTCCACATCAGTGACTACAGAGAGACAAACAGAGATGGGATTACATCAACAGAGACGGAGAGCTGATCTGCAGTTGTTTGCGAAGTCATGCTACAAGTCTGCAAGAGAAAAACAGAATCTACGAAAGATAAACAGTAAAGAAACAAGCAATGGCTACCACAGTTTAAAAACTGTATTAGGACCAAGGTCTGGATGGTCCTGAAATACGTCTTTAATGTTTTTAAATGTCATCGTTTGAAGCTCTGACTAGACGCCAGATTTCTTTCACCTTCACTTCACTAGGACTGCAGCACAACTGTTGGCAGCAACACAGAAAGACTGACTTCCATCCAATTAGAGTAAACAGAGGAAACGCTTTTAATGCAACGGTTAAAATGATCTTCTAACAGAAGCGCCTGAAAAAGAAGTTTAACGGTGTCATGTCGTTAATCCATAGATTAACTCTGGAACAGTTGGTAAAAATGACAAAGCTGCTTACACATGTAGTAGTAACTGTGGCGCTGTAGCGAACAATGTGACTAACTGCTGACTAACGGCTGAAAAGGATCCTGTTTACAGCTTCCATGACCACATTGTAGCTAAATGATCAACAAGATACCAGTAGGTGCCGCTCATCTGATAGGCAAGGGGTCAGCGTGCAGTAAAACGGAATCATTAACTATCAGCTTTCAGCAGCCAATCACAGTCCAACAGGGATAAGCTGCAGTAAATTAGCAAATACAAATGTAGGTACATTAGTTAGAAATTGAGGGCACTTTAAAGACTCCATATGAAAAGCTGGTAGTGCTGGGGTTGGAGCCACAGCAGCATGACAGAACTGCTCGACTGGCTTTGACAAATGTCTGATTAGATTGGATGACTGGTCCACCTGCTTCAGGATTGGATGTTGCTTGTCAGAGGGTAGCCTATCAAATGATCCAAGCGCAACTTTGATGTTTTCTGAATCAATGATAAACTAAAACAGTGTGTTTCCTGTTGTAGTCTTAAGAGACTACAAGTAACGGACGTCCTTAAATTTGACCTTGTCTGCATTAAAGTGTGGCTTTAAAGAAAGAAACTTTAGTCATTTCAGTATGCTCATCTTCTACACTGCTTATGTAATTGCAAATATACAACTGTTGTTTGTCACAGTACAACATATAATGAACATGCAGTGAAATGCTTGTGTCCTGAACTGTGGACAGGCTGCAGACGTAGCCACGCCACTCCAGGGCTTGTTTCTAGCATGGGGGTCATAGCCAGGACCCTTACTGGATACCGGGTGGAAATCGAACTTGCAACCCCTGCTCCAGAGGTGTGTAGTCTTACCACTACACTATGCAGCTTCCATTACAGCCATTGCTGCAATTACACCACTTGTGGCTACTTGTATTTATATGCCTCCACCAATCAGAGAGGTTGCAGGTTAGTGTTATGACTAGAGATGGCACGATACCACTTTTTTTTATGTATAATTAAATAATTAAATAGATTCAACATCTTTCTTCAACAGAACTGCAGACTGCACAGATGGTAGCTTCCCAAAGGAAAAAGTACTATAGCTTACTAGGGTATATTAGACTTAATAGTTACTATATACAGTGATGGACTTCTATACATTTTACATCAGATTAAAACTTTGGGTGTAAGATTCGGATAATTATTTATTAAAAGCTCGACATTTTAAATGAGAATAAGAAAGAAAAGTATGTCTTTGTGCCCCCTTTTCCCTGTTAATGCCCTATCGGCCCCCCTGGCTAAACTTTGCTAGATCCGCCCCTGCACAGTTACAGCTGTAGAAAAAGATCCTGGAGTAGAAAGTAATATTAAATAAATTCTAACAACAGCTGATCAAGCTTAAACGTGCTGCTGTTGTTCAGCCGCTGGTTTCCTCTTTCTGGTGCAAAGTGGGCCAAAAACAAACCAGAGAGACGATCAGCTGATCATGAAGTAGCAGCAAGAGAGAGAGAGAGAGGCAGTAGCTCCATAGGTTGTTAAGCTTAACGCTGGAATGCTTTACAAACATTCAGAGACGAACTTACACACTTGCTTTACTTCTCTCTGGGATAACTTCCTCGGAGATAAAATGCTGGTTTGGTAGCGAGGCTACAAATACACACAGCTGCTCTATCACGTGACCACACTGCTCCGATGTGCTACGGTTATGAGCTGAGTTACGCCGTGTCGCAAGTTTTGTGAGGTGCTTTTTTGATATTTAATGGATCGGATTACATTTTTTATTTTATTTCTCTCCAATATCCGATCCAGTAATTTACGTCAGTATCGGACCGATACCGATACCTAATATCGGATCGGTCCATCTCTAGTTATGACAGACAGGACTGTGCCAACTATGACATAATTACCATAACAGTTATTGGACTATTCTTGACCTTTAAATGTTCATTGACATATCAGCTAAACTTTAGCTCAACCTTGATTCCAAGTGTGCAACAAATCTTGAGAAATTTTCCAGAGAAGCTTATGAGATGTTGATGAGGACGGGATTGAGAGCACTAGAATCTCCATCGTCATCGAGGTATTTTAAAGTCTGATTGGAGAATATGTTTACAATGCAAGATGTTGTTTATATGATGACAAAGACACACCGTCACTGGAGATGGTGGAGACCAAAATAGAGCTTAAAAACAGATTCATGTGGTCAAAGTCAAAGCTAACCATGTGTGATAGATATGCAAACATGCACATCCGTTAAAGCCAGTGATATCTGCACAGCCTTTGTAACGTGTGATGATTCGACTTTTTAGTGCACTTAAGGCCAACGTAAAAACAATCTCAGTCTTTCTTTCACACCGTTACATGATTACATTAATACTACCACGCCTCTCTGTCAACGCTCACATTGTTGTCTAATCAGCTCCACTTCGACAACTGCTCTTTAATACACGTGTAATATTTTCTGTCACAGCTTCAGCTGAATCAGTTTAATTTAACCCTTCGACAGCACAAGGTCAAAGCAAGAAGCACATATGACATTTTTGTTTGCGTCTTACGGAAAACTACTCATGCCGAGCTCCATCAACAACTCTCTTAAAAGCTGTTATTCCGCCTTTATGGAAACTTTTCTTTATAAGCATCTCTGAACAACACTCGGGTTTCACTTATTTCGACAGAGCCAGTAGGGGAAGTACTGCTCATGGGGTTTCAGGTTTGACCCTAAAGCCTACCCAGACGGACCGCACACACGTGCAAACGCTCATGCACACACACTGTCACCGCGATGTTAGCCGGCAACATTCAGGCATAAACTCATTTTGAGCAATAAACTTTATTTCCAACTAAAAGTTTAAGAGGAGAGACATTAAAAGAGAATCGCTTTTACCTGGATACGTTGGTGTTAGGGTGCAACAGCTAATTCAAATAACAGTGGACTACTGTGCCTTTAACAAAAAAGCAGAGCCCGTGCACGCAGGCTAACGACATCCGAGGAGACCCGGAGAGCACGCCTTCCACCGAGACAATGCCCTAAAGAAAGCAACAACACTAAAATTCAAAAGGTTCTTCTTCTGACCATGCTCCACCTCTCCACCAAGTTTACTGAAATGTAGTCAGTTACTTTTACTGTAATCTTGCTGACAGGCAGATAATCAGTAAAACTGAGCCAATCACATACCTCTGACTTCTCTTTAGCAAGTAACCATGAGTAACTGGACATAAATCTTTATTTAAAAAAAGTAAAAATCAGTTTAACAACAAAACAGAGTTCAAACCCCATTTACAGGAAGTGACGGTGCGGGCGCACACACCATGCATATACCTTGGTTGGCCCAGTAACCTTTGTCATCTCCACAGACGCAGTTTCACTCTGACTACTGTCACACAGACAAAGCCTTAAACTAACGGCCTCAGCTGGAGCAAACTTTACTAAGAATGCACAATTTGTGTTAACGGGCTGTGCTAGTGAAGTGACGCAAATAAATTACCGCAAATGCCTTTCAGCAGTAACAGCAGGGTGCTGGTGTTTGACCGAACTGACATAACAGGTATGAGGAGGGAGCTGGTGTCTCTTCAGGTAATTTAAGTAAGAGTTGTAAGATCAGCTGATGGGCAGGGTGTGACTCCACCTTCATTCTTCACATTTATTTCCACAAAAACAGAAACACTGAACCATACAAAACCTAAAAAATTTATTTATAGATACAGGCTCAGCGAGTTTGAAAAATGTTAAAGGTCACACTGCTACTGAGGCTTTTCTCCTGCCTGAGAGGACGAGCACATCGTTAGGGTGGTGTCTCCTCGCAGCATGAAGAACCCAAACCACAGCCGGGGTTTCCTGGGTGGATTTTAAATTGGCAATGATGTGGTTTAAGTCTACAGAACAAAGTGCTGTACAAATGCAAAGTAAGTAAGTGGTCAGCAAGACTAGGAAAGCATTATATAAATGTATAAAACTAACAACACGTCTGCTGGACACAGGTGTGCTGTAAGCACAACACAGAACAAGAACCTTTTCAATTATCCTGGTTTTTGGGCACAACACACGAAAACTGTGTCAAGTGCCAAAAAAGTGCCAAGATGTGGTTTTATGAAAGGTAAGCTGACGATCAGAAGGTATTTACAGGTCACTGACAACCTCGCAGAGACAACAAGACTAAAGAAAGCCACTGTCCCAAAGAGTCATGGGTTTATCTGCTCCCTGCATAGTCCTGCACGTTGGTGTGCAGGTTGTGGTAATACTAAATATGAGTGGAAACTGCACGGAATGTAAAAAACAGACTATCATTAGAAAATAATACATGATCTCGTGTTCTGAGATAATGGATGGGAATCGTGTGTGTTTTGTTTTGGGAGAGATGAACTCTATTAAAAAGGCCTCCGGTCCTTTTCACAGATCACTCCAGCTGCTGTAACGTCTATTACAACACAGAAATGGTTTCCTGGTGCACAGCGGTGAGAGCCACTGAAACATGGAATGACACCAACAAACATCAGCGCTTAATGACATCCACCCGACGGAGTGCAACAGCTCTGAACTGTGAACATTTATTTCACTGGTGCCTCGTGTATCTGCTGC